GAAGATTTTGAGACCAGAAATTAATTGCAATAAGGCTTTAAAGTATAGATTGGAGGTTTTTTCCTTTCCCTTTGATACCTCCCCAGGAAGAGAAAGTGAGAACTTTGTGTATTGTTTGGACTGATTGACTCTCTCTGGAACTTTGGGGAATTGCTCTAACTTTTGAAACATTTTGGCTGCTTTAAGAAGAAGAATAAAGAATGGCTTTATCTGTTGATGAACTTAGAGAATATGAAGAAAGAAAGGACGCTGTGAAAGAAGCCTTTCTCTTTTTAGAAATGGCGCTTGTTAATTATCAAATACAACAACAGATGAAGGAAATGGAAGGAGAAGAAGAAGAAGATGCCATCTTCAATGAATCTAAAAATTTAGTTAAGAGAGAAAGGAGAAAGAAAGGAAGGAAAATGAAGGACTTAAGACTTAAAAAAATACTTAAGAAAGGAAAAAATAAGATGCAAAACCAACTCAATGTTAATGTTATTGAGCAAAAGGAGAAAGGAATACAACAGAGAGGGGAAGCTAAAGGGGGAGGAAAAAAGGTTAGGTGGGATAAGAAAGGAAGGGAAAAGGGAGGGAAAAGCCACAAAGGTATAAAACAAGATGGGAAAAAAGGAATTTTGTTTAGGGATAAAGGGTAATGTATAATTTCTTTAAAAAAGAAGATTCTGCAAGGTACATAAGATGGTATTGTAGTATTCGTATTAGAAATAGAAAACTAGAATGTTATAAGAATTAACAAAAGATTAAAATATTGAAATGTTTAGTAATGATAGATTTTAAAATTTAATAAAAGATTAAAAGGAATGTTTAAAATATTGAGTTTAATTAAAAAGTTTAATTTACTGTTGTTTTGATCTTATTATAAACTCATTATTGTAGCACTTGTTTCTTGAAATAGACAATTGGAATGTTATAAGATTTAAAATTTAGATTTATTATTTAATTATATTAATTATTATGGACTTATTATTTTCTCTCTTTAGTGGTTAGTAGGTTGAATGTACTAAGCAGAATCAGATTGGGTATTTTAAATATTTTTAGGGGTGGATAGAAAGGCATCATACCTTGATCAGTGATTTCAGGAGAAATTCTTTTTTTTTTTTTACTTGCTCTAGGGAATGAGATAAATGGATAATTTGGAGAATGGACAAAAAATATAAATATAATGATTTAAATTAAAATGAATTAAATAAAATAGAAATAAGAAGAGTGATAAGCGGGGAGAAGTTATATAGAAGATATAGAATGGTAAATAAGATAGGTAATGGTATATAAGATGAGCACGGATTTAATTGAAGTCCATACAAAGAGAGGTAATCTGGGGCCAAACTACTTTCTTAAAAGAAGTTTTTATATTTTTGTGTTTTGTGTGTCTATGTTTTCTTTGAGAATTAATAAAACCTCGGAGGAATGTTGGATGAGAATAATGTTAAACAAGACAGAGAGGAATGAAGATGATATTGAAATGGTGAAAAACAGAATGATGTTGTATAAAATAATATTTTATTTGACTTGTAAAGTTAATAATGGAGGTTTTATGTATTTAAAGGTTAACGATGGTTTGTTTGTCTTCAAAATCAATAAAATTTGTTTCAAAAAAAAAAAGAAAGTTAGCAAGGGGTTCTATAGAACCGGTCAGAACTGGTAGAATCCCACCCGGTACCACCTCTTACAGCCATGGTTGGAATAACTTCTGACAGACAGAACCCCCTCTTTGACCAAGTCTTCCATCAAAACTGGTTACCCAGCCTCAACCCATTCAACTACATTGGCTGGTATGTTTAGTGCGACAGAAGGAAACCAAAGTCAATAGAGCCCTCCATGCCCTTTCCTTAGTTCACTGTAAACAAGGATGCTATTTATTGGTATTCTTCTATGACAGAATAAAGTTCAACAGTGGGACAACAACTGTTGTACTAGTATCGTTTTCTGTCATCTGAAGAGTTGGTAGATAGCACTGTATCTTAGGTGCATGGCGTAGCCTTGGGGAGAGGCAGGACTATTCTCAATTAATCCTGATCACTTTGGTATAGGAGAAAATAATATTAAATGAATAAGGCTGTACCCATCACCTTTGTAACTGGAAACACCATTATCTCCTGATCCTTGTCAAGTGCAAGCAGCCAGAGCCCATTTATGAATAAGAAAAATGAGTGACTTTATTATTTAGCACTATGTTACAAGAATCTCACCAGAATGCTTGCCTTCCTCTGGGAACAACTAGAGAAGGCTTCATGGATCTTGGGAGTGGGTAGGGGATGTCAAGCTTACTTCACTTGCAGCTGCCCAAGGACTCCAAACTAGGCCCCTTGCTTGACTCCTCTTTCCAGCCTGGGTGGCAGTTTTCCAACAGTCCTTAAACAATTTATTGTTTATCTCCACCCTTAGAATTTCATATAGGAAAATGAAGAGAATGGAAGAATACAGATAAGAGAAGGGAAATCGGAGTCCATTTTAGGAGGTTGGAACACATTCATATCCATTTTAATAACACCAGCCAGTCTCTGTGGAGATGAGACTTCCTTTGGAAGAATTACATTGTGTGGAAGGATTATGAAGATAACACTCACCTGCCTTGAAACTTAGCTCATCTGCTTCCTGGCCAATATAATCGTACACAGCACGAACCCGCTGGCCTGCTATTGGCACAGGTGCTGGCTTGGGACTATAGAAAGGAGGGAGAATATAACTATAAGTGATCTTGTTCAACCTTTGCTTATTATACCTTACCCTAGTCTTTCTGCATCTCCTACAAGAGGCTAGGGCAATGTACATAGTAAACCACAAATAAACCCATTATGTGCTATTATGTTATAGCTTAATGTGAAGTATGAAGATCTGACACTGACTTACTGAAGATCACCAAGTGAATTTCCTGTCCAAATGAAGTTATGTATCTGAATTTCTGTGGAACCATTGCAAATGTTAGCATCTGGTCATTTATTTGCTTAATCATGTGAGAGACAATCATAAATATAGAAACTAACAAAGGACTGAACATCTATAAATACTGATAGTTAAAGGGATTCTTAATCTTGGATGGCCTGCTAGTTAGCTGAACTCTCTTAAGGATTCTGTAAATACAGGAACTGTCTTTTCAAAATGCAAGTTCAAGAAGAGGAAGTCAGAGATTCTAGATAGTCCTTGACTTATGGACCACAATTGGGAACAGAATTTCCACTGCAAAGCAAGGGAGTTATTAAATGAAATTAAATTTGCAGATGGTAGGAATAGCTAACACCCACTAAGATAGGCTCAAAATCCAGATGGATCTTGACAGACTAGAACACTGGACCATATTTTACAAAATGAAATTCAATGTAGAGAAAAGTAAAGTCCTATACTTAGGCAAGAAAAACCAAAAGTACACATATAGACTGGGTGAAACCAGGCTTAATAGCAGTAACTGTGAGAGGGATCTTGGAGTCTTAGTGGACAATCAGCTAAATGTGAGCCAGCAGCGTGCGGCGGCAGCCAAAAAAGCTAATATAATCCTAAATTGCATCAACAGAGGGATACAATCAAGATGAACTAATAACACTCAATAAAGACCTAGTAAGACCACTGCTTGAGTACTGCATCACAGTTTTGGTCACCACACTATAAAAAAGAGACTCTAGAAAAAGTAGAGAGAAGAATAACCAGGATGATTAGGGGACTGGAGACTAAAACATATGAAAAATGATTATAGGAACTGGGCATGGCTAGTCTAGTGAAGAGAAGGACCAGGGGAGACATGATACCAGTCTTCCAATATCTGAGGGGCTGCCACAAAGAGGAAGGGGTCAAGCTATTTTCTAAAGCACCCGAAGGCCAGACAAGGAATAATGGATGGAAACTGAACAGGGAGAGATTTAACCTGGAAATAAAGAGAAACTTTCTGAAAGTGAAAACAATCAACCAATGGAACAGCTTACCTTTGGAAGTTGTGGGAGCGCCATCACTTGAGACTTTCAAGAAGAGATTGGACTGCCATTTGTCAGAAATGGTGTAAGGTCTCCCGCTTGGGGGGGGGGTTGGACTAGATGACCTACAAGGTCCCTTCCAACTCTGATTATCTGTTATCTGTTTGTTATCTGAATCATGCCCAATTTTACAACCTTTGTTGCAATATTTATGTTATTAATTGAACATTGCAGTTGGTAAGCGAATCATGAGATCCTTAAGCAGATTTGGCTTCCTACATTGACTTTACGTGTCAGAAGTTGGCTGAGAAAGTCGCAAATGGTGATCCTATGACCTTGGGATGCTGCAACCCTCATAAATACATGCCAGTTGCAAAGCACCTGAATTTTGACCCCAAAGATACTCTAATGATCATCTGTGTGAAAACTTGTTGTAAATTACTTTCTTTCTAGTTCTGTTGTAACTTTGAACAGTCATTAAACAAATGATTATAAGTTGATAATTTCTTATAATTTCTTTGTTTTAAGAGGTCATGGCTGTTGGTCTGCAAGAATGGATCACTAGTCCTTGAGAACAGTTTAAATGTCTCTGGGCCTAGAAAACCAGGAAGTGGGTAAAATTGTGAAGACTGCTTAGTTAGTCTTCTGAAGGATATTTCATTATTTACAAGAGTAATTTTACCTACATTTTAATTCTCTCTCTTTGTTTGCTTGGGTTACTAATTACAAGCAGATCTCAGCTTCATAGAACTGCTTGCAGTTTCATAAAAGGTTAAATCATGGCAAGTGGACCAACATTTATTAAAACTGAGATTTTTGGCCTGAATGATTGAATCTTCACTTACAATCTGGTTGCAATGAAACTATTCTTGCAAATCTTTTCTTTGTTGTCTTCATTAAATTAAAACAAAATCTTTGTACGATTATTAGACTATTGGGTTTGTAATCTCTCATTTTATGTTCCAAAACTGTTTGGGCTTGGTAATCTTGCTAAGAGGGGAAGTGCTTATTCCTGGGGAAAAAATGGTTCCTGTTAGTATAAATTTAGAACAATTTAATATTGAAGTTAGCATTTTATTCTGTTTAGCTTCCCGCTCCTATACTGGTAATCCTCAATTTACAACTGATTGCTTTGTGACTGTTTGAAGTTACAACGGCCTCTGAAAAACCTTTTTATGACCTTGTTCCAAAATTCTGATGTTCTTCCCCCCCCATGGTCACATTACTGAATTTTGACTGTTTGGCAACTTACCCACATCTATGGCAGTTTGCAGTGATCTGTGGTTACCCAACCATGATTTACAATAATTTTGCTGGGAACCTGAGTTTACTTTTTGTTTCTGGCAAAAACTGCCCCATGGCGAACAATGGGTTCACTTAATGACCTCAATGTTCGCTTAATGACCACCATGAAAATTGTAAAATCAGGCTTGGTTATGACTCAGATTCCGATTGTCACAATTTATGGCCATAATTGCATGGCTCCATTATAGTTGTGACTCAAGGACTACCTGTACTTTTGCAAGTGTTGTTGACGTGGCTAAGCAGAGAGAATATATTTCAGCTCTATAATTGCAGGGCTGCGTTACAGAGTAGTTATTGCTCTCTTAAATAAAGGAGCAACATTAGTCTTCAAATATTCCTTGACTCTGAAAGCAAACTTAAAGTCTCAATTCTTTGGAAAGTGAAGTTGTCTTTTTAGTAAATCATAAACATTCAAAATCACTTATTGCAGAAAAGTAATCAGGACAAATTTCTAAAATGGCTATAGAGCATTTGGATGTAATATGAAATAGTTATGCTCAGCCTGGATGTTTGTAAATAAAGTTTTATAAAATGCCACAACATGAAAGATGCCTTCCAAATAAAACTAAATCCCAACCAGAAGTCTTCTTGTCATCACTCATGTTATAACAACAATACAGCAACCAATCTTCTCTTTAATTATTACATTCATGTCCTATCGCATATTATAAAATTTGCTGAATACTTGAAAGGGCATTCGGAAGTTTTCTTTGGATCAAACCACAGATGATTCAAGTCTTGATACTAATGTTTAATTTTTTCCTAAAAAGCATTTTCAGAGGTTCAAAATCTGACTGGAGAAGGACAAACAGTACAGAAATTAAATAAATCCATGTCCCCACTAAAGAGCTGCTGTTGGCACAGATAAGTTATGATTTCTATGTTTTTTCTAGTGGACTCAATACATATTTTGGAGCTATAATAAAAGCACAACAAGAAACATTTAACTATGCTTGTGACCTTATAATAGAGATATAGCATGTACACTACAGTAACTGTTTTAAAATAATGGTTTTATGAAATACACTTGGCTACATCCACATACGTAGCTAAGCCCTAATCATGGCTACCAACCCAAGCAATTGACATCACCTATCATGTCATGATATAGTTTTTAAAATGAATAAACCATATTTGAGTGGGTACTACAATACACAAACCAGCTCACATTTAATAAATTAATAAATTGCATAGTTGTGAAATGTTCCCTCTCTTATCAACCACAGATTCTTACAGATGCCTTATCAAATAGCAACTAAAAATATCAAGAGTTCAGATCATGGGTCTCCTCTGCCATTCTCATGCCCATTTTAGTCCTCATATGTTAAACCTGAAAGAACTTCATATGCAGGACTGGGGAGCTATTTTTGAAGTGTATGTTTTCTGACTGACCTCAATTTGATTATCTTCTTTCGGGTCAATTGAAGTTTTATGCATTCAGAAATAAAAAAAAAATGCCCCATGTGGGGACAAGTGGAACTGTCTCAAAGAACTGGGCATCCAAGCAGGTTGATGGTCAAAGCAAGCCCAGCAGCTAAACAGAACTTCTTTGAAAATGCAAACAAACCTGGTAGATGGTTGGCATATAAATTGAAAAAGGAGAGAGAAATGAAAAAAGATAATGCAACTAATAGATGATCAAGAAATGGTTTGCAATGGGAATGAAGAAAAGAAAATAATAATACAGAAGTACTACGAGAAATTATACAATTAAGAGAAAGTTGAAGAAGGAAAAGTTAAACAATATTTGCAAAGAGCGGAGTTACCCCAAATACCAGAGGATATTAAGATAATGTTAGAAGGGAAAAATAACAATGATGGAATTAGCAGAGGCACTAAACAGACAAAATACTGGAAAGGCTCTGGACCCAGATGGGCTATCAGCAGAATTTTCAAGACTTTACAGGAATCCTTAAGTATCTCAATACTTGAAATGATGAATGTGGTTTTGTCAAAAACTAAAATACCTAATTCATGGACAGAGGCATATATTACTCTCATACCAAAAGAGGATACTGACCTACAACAAATAAAAAATTATAGACCTATCTCCTTGCTAAATGCAGATTATAAAAATTTTGCCTCAAAGACTTAAAAGATATTTGAACAATTTTACACATGTTGATCAAAATGGATTTCTGCCAAAGAGGCAAATCAAAGAAAATATAAGAATAATCTTGAATACATTGGAATACTATGAAACACACTCAGTGAAGCAAATGGCCTTGGTATTTTTAGATGCGCAAAAAGCCTTTGATAATATAAATTGGCAGTTTATGATATCACAAATGGAACAAATGGGCTTTGGAGAAAGATTTATTAAAGCTATTGAAGCAATATATCACACGTGATCTGTTAAAGTAATGATAAATGGAGATTTGACAGACAATATTAATATTAAAAAAGGAACTTGGCAAGAAAGTCCACTGTCACCTCTGTTGTTGGTATTGACCTTGGAGGAGTTAAACAGAAATATTAGAGATAACAGTGAAATAAAGGGAATGAAAATAAAAAAGTGAGAATATAAATTACAAGCATTCGCAGATGATATGGTTTTTATATTAGAGGAACCATTGAAAACAGCGCCTAAATTGATAGAAAAGATTGAAGAATATGGACTGGTGGCAGGACTGAAAATAAATAAAGATAAAACTAAGATTTTAATTAAGAATATGACTGAAAAACAAAACAAAGAATTGTCAGAAAGATTGATTATCCAGATAACAAATACAGTAAAATATTTAGGAATACAACTAACAGCAAGATGTGGAACACTAAAGGAAGATCATTATTATAAATTAAAACAACAGATTGTGGCAGACTTGAAAAAATGGGAAAATCTACAATTATTTCTAACAGGGAGAATCTCTACAATCAAAATGAATATACTACCAAGAATATTATATTTGTTTCAGACAATTCCAATTAAACTAGGGAAAGAATATTTTGAGGATTTAAATAAAATAATACTGAAATATATATGGCAGGGAAAAAAGGCAAGAATTAAATTAAAATTGTTACAAAATGCTAGAATAAGAGGCGGCTTTGGATTACCCAATTGGGAATTATATTATCAGGCAGTAACATTGATATGGGTGAAAGAATGGATTGTTTTGAGGAACACTAGGTTGTTAACGTTAGAAGGTCATGATTTGTTATTGGGATGACATGCATTTTTATGGTATAAGGAAAGTAAAACACATGGGTATTTCAGGAGACATTATATTTGAAATGCATTACTGTCAATATGGGAGAAAATAAGAAAACAACAATACATGAAAATATCAGTCTGGTTGTCAACGATAGAGGCATTTGCTTATCCAATTGTTTATAAAATAGAATGTAAAGTTAGATATGGTGAAATATTAAATGAAAGGGGTGAACTCAAATCTAAACAAGAATTAAGAGGGGCAAGGAATAAAGATGAACTGGTATTCATATGTGCAAATACATTCTAGATATGATAAAGATAGTAAGACAGAAGGGTTTTACAATGAACTTACTGAATTAGATAGAATTTTAACAGGTACTGATGAGAGGATGATTAATAAATTATATGGTTATTTACTTGGAGTGAAACTAGAAGAAGAACAAGTTAAAGAAACAATGATTGCTTGGGGGAGAATTTTGGATACGGGATAGATCTAGAAAAATGGCAGAAATTATGGGCTCGAAACTATAAAATAACAATGTCAACAGCATATAAAGAGAATTTGTATAAGATGTTTTACAGGTGGCATTTACCCTCCACAAGAATAGCAACGATGTTCAAGAACAAATTGGAGAAATGTTGGAAATGTCATCAGATACCTGGATCATATTACCATATGCGGTGGACGTGTGTGGAAGACAAAAGATACTGGACTAAAATTCATACATGGTTGGAAAAAATGACAACATATAGACTTGAAGCCAGAGATATTTTTATTGGGTATCTTGTCTGAAGGATACAGAATTGATATATTTGAATATTAATGTTTTAACAGCAGCTAGAATTGTATTTGCTCAAAAATGGAAAAAAGAAAAAATTCCAATAGAAGAAGAGGTGATAAAGAAAATAATGGAATGTGCAGAAATGAGTAGATTGACATTAGCAATTAGAGAGCAAGAAGAAAAAGAATATTATAAAATATGGTATTTATTTTATCAATGGTTAGATAGGAAAATAGAGAAATGAAATACACTATAATATAAACAAAAAACAATAGTAAATATAATACAACGAAATGATATGTTATAATTGTATATTAAGGAAGGAATTATAATATGAACTAGGATTTGTAAAAATTGAGATTTGCTCGTAAAGGATGATGTGAATTTTCAATTAAAGTCTAATGAAGATTTAATAATAATGTAATATGAAATGAATAGTTGATCTACATAATATGAATTTTAATTTAATTTAAGAGGGAAAGACTGTTGATATTGTGCACAAGAAATATGTACCAACCGACACACTGTACAATTGAAAGAAGGTTTTATTTGTTGTTTTGTATTTGTGTTTGTTTATGTTTGTTGTTAAAAATAAAAAAGGCAAAAAAAAAAAAAAAAAGGCAAGCCCAGCAGCCAATCAGGGATGGCTTTTGGGAAGAGAAGAGCCTTCATTAGATCCTAAATTTTCAATGTCAGATTTTAGGATGGACTATCTGTGGTAATGACAAGGAAGGCATCCTTTAACTTTGCTCACATTTCCACTCATACCTATTAATCATAAATGGAAAATATGAGAAAATATGATGTAACAGACTGACTGAGATAATTAAAGTTGAGGAAGTTGAAAATCACTGGACTAGACTATCAGTCAGGGAGGGTCTGACTGATTTTTCTTTTTTTTTTGGTGATGAAATTCAATGGTTTCACAGCTACTAAGCCTAAACCACACATACATATTGGGTGAATCCAACCATTCTGTTTATGTATACTGTGCTTTATGGTTCAGCATGGAGTTTGAACCCAGCCAAATGTAGCTTATCTGATAATGATTAAGCAAATCATAGGTTGGTGCGGTGCCTTAATCAAATAAGTAAGTGGCTGTAGGCAAATCACCCTTTCTCAATTACAGGCTTCCTGCTGTTGTCATGTACTATTCTCTTACTTTACGAGGTTGCAAGAATTCCAGCAGAAGAGTGTCTTGATCATGAAGAACCTAAAGTCTACCCTATTGTATCACACTACAACTTTCCAGTGGTCAGCCAAATGTCTCTGAAGTCCTTGTTCCTCCCTCTCCCCATTGTTCCTCTGATGCTACCCACCCCCAGCAGGATAAGGTATTGATAGAGCCTGATAAATATCCAAAGACTTTTAAAATCATCCAAATCTGTGGCTGTCACTGTATCTCAGAGATAGCCACATATTTTAATTATATAGTCTATAAAGAAGCTCTTGCTTTTTTCTGTTCTAAATCTCCTCAGTTTTACTGGGTGACCCCTGATCTAATGTTTAAGAGTTAGGGTTTTCTTATGCCACATGTTATTTTCAAATACTGGATCAGGCCCCTTCCTTCTCTTTTCAAGTTCAAATATTCCAGCAGGAAGAATATTTGATTCCACAGATCATTTGGGTGTTTTCTTTTGCACTTTTTTTTTTTAGCTTACTGTATCCTTTTTAAACCTGGCAGCCGGGACTATATGTGATATTTCAGCTGTAGACGTTACATAGATTTGTGTTATTGCTTTACAATGTTGACAATTTTCAATCCATTTCCTTGTGGTCTTTAACATGGAATTTGATATATTGCATTACAATGTTGGCAGTTTTCAGTCCTTTTCCTTGTGGCCCTTACTGATGGAATTTGATCTTTTTTTTTACCACCATTACATGTTGAATTGATGTTTTCACCAAGTTCTCCATTTGAGGCCAATATCTTTTTTTCAGTTAGTCACAAGCAACTTAAATCATCTCTGGGTTTATGCAAAGTTAGGATTTTCTGCCCACTGGGGTATTACATTACACTTACTTAAACTGGACTATAGTTGCTATCTGACCATTCAATCACTTCATAATTTTTTTCAGTCTTCACCATCTTGTTTGTAATCATATCTGCAAATTTGTAGCTCACTCAAAATCATTCCAGCTCCTGTTCCCCCATTGGGAAAAGTGCCCATCCATTTCTATTCTGTACTTTCTGATTTTTAACTAATTAACCATTCTTGAGGATTACTCCCCTTATCCTGGTAAGATGAGGTTTATTAAGTTCGGAGGATGGGTACTACAAGTTAAACATCCAACATTATTTTATTGTCTCAGCTCTTTCACTGATTTTGGAGGGTGAGAAGGAAGAGGAAGGTGGAGATACAACTCACCAGCTCTGGATGGGGGTTATGCTGCAGGGTATCACTTTCTCTGGTTCTTTAGTTTTCTTGATCTTGATTTGTGGCCGCTCATGATCAGGACTCCAATCCTGGATAGCAGGAGAGGAGAGGAAAAAGGGAAAGCATGAAATCTGAACTTGGGCTGCACTCCTTGACAACATCCCATTCAGAATGAAAAAGAAGAAAATTTGAAAATGGTTAGGAATCAAAAGGGCAGCCTTGCAATAGGTAGAACTTTGTTGATATTGATACCTTTTTGGGTAGTTGGATCACAGCAAGAAAAGCATTATAATACCGGTATTTTGGAGAACGATGAAGTGGGTTTCTAGTAAGACATTATCTCAAGAGATGGATGGTAGCTAGTCTAAAGAAGAAATATAAAATATGCTGTTCCAAAAAAGTATTGAAAATTGTACGGGAACTTTAATAAAGTAATACATTTACCCTGAGAAAAAAATTCCATCAAAACCTGCTGGCAATTTTTTTAGTGTTTTTTTTTAGTGCTCCTGACCATTTTTAGTACTACTTTGCAATTTTTCTCTTGACTTATATGTGTAGAATAAAGATAAACCTCAACTTACGACCATTTGTTTAGTGATTGTTCAGTTAAGAAGATGCTGGGAAAAGTGATTTACAACTGGTCCTTGCAGTTACGACTGTCACAGTGTCCCCATGGTGATGTGATCAAAATTTGGGCACTTGGCAACTGTCATATATTTACAACAGCTGCAGGGTCTCAGGATCATGTGATTTCCATTTGCAACTTACCCAGTCAGTTTCCGACAAATTCAATGGTGGAAGCTGGATTCACTTAACAAGTATGTGATTCACTTAATGGCCCTGCGAAAAAGGTCATAAAATTGGGCACAACTCACTTAATGATTGCCTCACTTAGCAACGGACGTTCTGCTCCCAATTATGGTTGTAAGTTGAGAACTACCAATAGTCACTATTTCTCAAAAGCCATTAATAATTCAGTTGTGGGTACTCTATGATTGGAGGTTCTAAATAGAGATTGGACAGCCATTTGACCAGAATGGTATAAAGTCTCCTGATTGAGTAGGGAGTTGGACTAGCAGACCTCCAAGATCCTTTCTAAATCTGTTATTCTGTATTCCATATATAAATAGATTCCTAAAGACTTGCTTCGGCCAGGCTCCATTTGCCAGACTATACAAAACCCCAGAGAAAAATGTAGGTATAGGAATTCTTACACTATCCAAACTTAGGTGTCTTTTATATTTCATTTGGTGCAAAGAATTTTTTATAGTAAAATCCTATAATTTACCTTGAAAGAAATACAAAGGTAAATAACATAATTAATTAAATGAGATTGTCAGCCTGAAGGGTCTGAAGATTCCTAAACCAAGCTGTGGGGTTTAGCTCTAATTTTTAACTCATAATCTAATTTTTATGGCACTAAGTCATAATTGTTAAGAGGTGTAAATGGGATGTTAAATGAAAGCAAAAATCTTTACTTCTTTCAAGATATTTCTGATAACTTGTCAAAAAAAGGGCAAAGGAGATAACTGCTGTTATCAAACAATCTGAAATATTTCCCTAGCTATCAGCTGAATTGTTTTGTCATAGAGGATGTTAAAAACAACAGTTGGCTGACAGCCTAGAGGCTCTGAAGAGAAATAATTCTTTGTTTCTGAGGGAAAAAACAACACCGAGAAGTAAGACTATCTGGATTTAGAATCAACTGAACAGTGGATTTATTTTTTTCTTATTGGAAACTATAGGCAGAACTTGATTTATGAACATAATTGAGCCCCAGATTTCTGTTGTTAAGTGAGTTTTGGCCCATTTTATGACCTGTCTTGCCACAGTTAAGCGAATCACTGCAGTTGTAAATTAGTAATATGGTTGTGAAGTGAATCTGGCTTCCCCATTGACTTTGCTTGTTCAAAGGCTGTAAAAAGTTATCAAATTACCCCAAGACACTGCAGGCATCATCAATGTGAATCAGTTGCCAAGTGTCTGAATTTTGATCACATGACAGTGGGAATGCCACGGTCATAAGTGTAAAAAATGATCATTACTCACTTTTTTCAGCGCCATTGTAACTTTGAATGATCACTAAATGAATTGTTCTAAGTAGAGGATTATCTGAATTACTATGCTGGGATGTTTTTCTCACTGTGTGTAAATGGAAACCAGAAGGATTCTGAGAACATGCAGCCTGCTCTTCTCCTATCCTTAAAGAAGAAATGTTTCCCACCTCAAATTTTGGCCAGTTCATGGGCATTCCTGGACCATTTCGGTTATGCCACCATTTAAGATCCTCTTGGTCATTTATCTCCTCAATGGCCTGATGCAAGTCACTATAAACAGCTTGGACACTGAAGAAAAGGAGAAACAGAGATGAGAAAATTCTAACACATACAAGCACACACACATGCACAAAACATTCCCACTTAGGAGCAATGTGTACAAAACAAGTCTGACCGAGGATGCTTCCCTCAAGGCGTTTACAATGTTGTGAAACTGATTTACAGATTTTTTACAGAATGTACTGAGTTGCAACATTTGCCGCGTGGGATTCTACTGTGCTTTTCAACCATTAAAAAATGTATCCAAGAGAGAAAGATTGAAGAGTCTTATGTTCTGATTGATAGCACAACCTGGTGCTTTTCAGGAAAGTTGGCTACAAGGCAAGGCAGTTTTAGCAGCTAGAGTGCAGGATGTAGGAAAGAAGATCTGATGGGTGGAGGCAAATGGAGGTACATATTTTGGGAAGAGATAAGATTTTCTTTGGAGAGATGTCAAGGTATAGTTTAACTAACTCCAGTTTTAAAGGTCATGCCATGAGATGGGGGATAGTGTAGAATGGAGACTTTCTTGGTAGAAATTGTGAAGACAAGAACAGGTTAGGCACTGATTGTCACAGAGATAATCTCTCTATGGTCACTAAGCAGAATGGGACAACTTGCCATGGCCAACTCGCCCCATCCAACTCACCCAGTCAGACTTGCCCTGGCTGTTTTTTCCTGAGACTGACTCACCACAACTAACTTCCTGTGCCCAACTTGCCGTGGGAGAACTCACATTAGGACAATTCAACATGGGATAACTCAACAGAGGGACAAAAGAGGGACAAATGACTCAAGCTCTGGCTCACTCCAGCCTCAAGGATATCTAACTTGAGAAGGTTCAAACCTAAAGTTGTCCTAGATTCATCATGAAGTGTTGGGCTTGATGGTGCATTATCGATCCCATAAACACCTAGCTAGGAGAAGTTTCATCTATGAGATGCTGAGAAGTTGGGAGAGGTAGCTCAAGAATAAGAAATTTGGGTGAGAGGGAAAGGAAAAGGGGAAATGAAAGACTTACCTGAGCCTTAACACCGAGGGATTTAGGGCAACTCGCTGCAGCCGACTTACTGTGGCTGATTTACCCCAACTGTCTCAACCCGGATGACTCACCCCAGCCAACTCACTTCAGCCAATTCACCACGGGATAGCTCACTGTGAGACAATTCAATGTGGGATAACTCAAGAGAGGGGCAAGAGAATTGCAGTGGGCCTTGTCTTGCTTTAGGGTTGAAACTTCTCAAATTAGAAGTCCTCAAGGCTGAGGTGAGCCAAACTGTGGAGTCATAGTCTCTCTTGTCCCTCTCTTGAATTGTCTTACAATGAGTTGTCCCATGGTGAGCTGGCTACAAAAAGCTGTCCCACGGGGAGTTGTCCACGGAGGGTCTGCCACAGCAAGAAGGCCAGGGAAAGCTAGCCAGGGTAAGCTGGCCGTGTCAAGTTGTCCCATTTCAACACCAAGTGTCCAGCTGCAGGAAACATGGACAGAGACAATTACAGTAGAGTGAGCAGATTTTAGAAGGGTGGGGAAGGGGAGCTGTTTAGTTCTGGGCACTTCATTCAGTAAACTTGTAAGTTGTTGCCTAATAATATTAGTAAAAGTTGACAATTGTGATTTTTTTTTCTGCTGGGGGAATGGAAGTAACCTGAATGAGTTTCCTTATTAATGGAAAGTTCAGGGCAGCTGTGATAAGAATATATTCTAAAGCTTAGGCAATGGGGAAGGAGTTTTTGAACCCAGGACTGGCACCAAAATTGTAGCTAGGGAAGAAGTGGTATTCATCAGGTTCTGACCAGTTCTGGAGAATTGGTAACGGAAATTTTGAGTAGTTCAGAGAACCGGCAAATACCACCTCTGATTGGCCCCACCCCCATCTGTTCTCTGCCTCCCAAGTCCCAACTCCCAATTGATTAGCTGGGTCTTCTTTTCTTGCTCTGCCCAGGAGAACGGAGCTGGAAAGCAGGTTAATGGGGTAGAGAGGGATGGGGTTTTGCAGTAACCTTCCCTCAGGAGTGGGGAGGAAATGGGGATTTTGCAGTATCCTTCCCCTGCCACGCCCACCAAGCCACACCCTGCCCACCAAGCTATCCCCACAGAACCAGTAGTAAAAAATTTTGAATCCCATCACTGAGCTAGGGCTATAATATCATTATAGTACTTATCTGGAAGCATCCTCTGACTACCTAATTGTAAATCAATTATAAGTTCTTTGGTGGAATGTGGCACTTGGGTAAAAAGGCAGAGGATATCTATAGCTGCTTGTAGAGAGGTAGATTGAAGGGAATGAAGGATGTAGAGTTGTAACTGCAGGAATGTTCCAATCTCGGATGACAAACCTCAGATAAAGAATGTCTCCAAGCAAATACAACTCAGGCAAACAAAGTCACTAATCTAAAGGAGGATTAGAGAGAGGAAGTAAACATATGTTAGACTTTAACTAGAGATAATTAATTGTATTAATTACTGTGCTAAACAGTAACGAAAGTTAAGTGGTAACCAAAGTTAACCAATGATGGAGGATAACTAAAAATGTGTATAAATGCAAGACTAGACTCCAATAAAGTTCATCATGATTCAGTTGTTCATGATCAAACAACTTGACTGCCTCGTCATTACAACAGAAGGAAGCATCAAGTCATCTGGTGATCTAAAAAGTCAAGATGATGGTTTAACTGTACAATTAAAGTTGGCATCTTGATTTTTTTTTTATCCCTCCTCAATGGCTTTATTCCTCCATCTAATGGCAAATGGTGGTACTGCACAGCTGGAGGAGGGGCCTTTCATCCCTTTTTAGCGGTAATCTATATCTGGCATCCATGAGGACAGAGAGAGTAGATCACTGTTTCTCAGACTTAGCAACTTTAAGATGTGTGGACTTCAACTCTCAGAATTCCTCAGTCAGGTATGAAGTAGATAAATTGCATAAATAACTAAAAAAATGTCCCTGGTGTCCAACAAGGGCCGTTTTACCACCCCTTTCAATGAGAAATGGTTTCTTTCATGAGAGGAAATCCTGCTGTATGAAGCTTAACATCAACATCTTCATTTTAACAAAGGGATCTGAACAACATGAGACTAGCTGTATGAGTTATCTAGCCCTCAAGTTATGGTGGAATGTAGTTACAGTCACAGGAGGAAGAGGTTGCTTTCCAGAAGGCAAAAGGGCAGTGAAGTTTGGAATGTCTGGTAGGCAGGAAGAAGACAAAGACGGACCTTTCTAGCAATTCACAGAATATATCCGTAGCTATGCAGATTGTGGTTTTAGTCAGGCAGGCTCCTGTCTGTAGGCCAATAACAATAAATAAACTATAAAGAAATAACACTACATTATTCTTGGGGCCTGATGCAAGACTCCTTTTTCCACACCTGGAATCTGCAGTGATATCCAGACGCCGATGCAGGGCGAGGAAGGCACTTTTGAGAAAGACAATCCGTCTCTGCTCCAGAGCCTGCCCCTGCTCAAACACACACTCCATTTCTTCTATGTAGCGAGGGCTGCAACGGTCGAGCTCTTGCAGGGCCTTCTCGTAACGTTCACGGACCTGTTGACCAAAGCCAAGAAAATGCATATGCTTTCAGATTCTCCAATCTTTGGGATCTCTCAGATGTCTTGGGCAACACAATGCTCTTTCACCTGCAGGCCACTCCTGTGACCCACACTAACCAGACTGGTTGGTTTTGCTGCATTGCAGGGAGCGGGAGGAAGAAGCTCATTTGCTTGGGGGAGCTGAATAAGATTGATGGGTTATCTCCTGCCTTAGAGCAGGGAACCTGAATGAATGTAGGATGTAGAGAGAGATCAGTGCCTGTGGGTGTTAGAATATGCAATCCCACTCAAATTGCATCATACCACTCCCAATTAAATTAGCATTTAATATGTGTGTGTGTGTGTGTGTGTGTGTGTGTGTGTGTCTATAATTGTTTATGAAATCTCACAAGATTCTGGCAGTCTGTTGAGCTTTCTGAGATCTTGTGAGACCTTGTTAACATTTTATAATATTTGAAACAATTTTAGTGGGGACACTAACTTTTATGCGAAATGTTTTATCTCTAATATTTGTTATACATACATCATATGTGTAGAATTGTGTCCTTCACATTGTGTTTGTAACTTGCTCTTACGGTTTTGCAATTCTGGGTAAAAAAAAACCTCTGCACACCCAGAATCTTGATGAGCAAAAAGGAGGTTTGAATTGGCTGACTTGAAAAAAAATCTGCAATTCATTATTATTTAATTTTCTTTTTGAACCCAATCCAGAATATTAAAAGGTCACACTGCTCTTCAAACAGATATTGTATTTAGTTTGCTGCACTCAGGCAACAACAGTATTGTTCTGCATAATTGCATTTCCAATCAAAGAAAGGAAAAACTATTTGCTTTAAATCATAGTGGATTTTTTATTCCAGATAAATCTCCAAGCCCCAAACATTACTCAGAAATCAGCAAAAGGTCTCAATCATTGCTGCACAGTAAAAATACTTTACAGATGTCAAAGTGGGAAGCAGGATCCATTTAACAACCACCTGATCCACCTAACAGATGCAGTGATTTGCTTAAAGATGTGGCAAAAAAAGGACACAAAATTGAGTATGACTAACTTAATTACTTTGCTTAGGAATGGAAATTCTGGTCCCAAATGTGTCCTAAGTCAAAGACACCCCCCCCCCCATACTGAAGGCACAAGATGGGGACATGTTCTCTAACCCCACCAGTCAATTGATATATTTGATAAAAAGTATCAGGGAACTGTTAATTCTCTAGATCAGGGGTGTCAAACTCAATTTCATTGAGGGCCGCATCAGGGTTGTGTTTGACTTCGGTGGAGGGATGAGGGGGCATGGCCAGCTCAACATCACTCACGTCGGGGGCACCTGTGGTAGTCTGGGCAGGGCCGCGGGAGATGCCTTGTCTCCGGCGGAATAAGGTGAGACCAGGGAGAAGGCCAAACCCTTGTCCTCTAGAAGAGTCTCGCCATCCCTCTCAGACCATGCAGAGGACACCCGGACGGGGACGCAGGCTGACCAGAGCCCTAGGCTTCCTGCAGACAGCCTCCTGCAGCCCTCTGCCAGCAAAAATGGAGGACGGGGGGGCATGCATGCCCCCCAAGCTCTATTTTTTGGCCGCGATGGCCTCCTGCAGCCCTTTGCCAGTGGAAACGGAACTCGGGGGGGGCACACGCGGCCCTCCTGAACTTTATTTTTGCTGGCAGAGGAACCATGGGTTGGACCTTCCCTGTATCCAGGGCAGCCCCACGGGCCAGATCCAAGCACCCTGTGGGATGGATCTGGCCTGCGGGTCTTGAAATTGCCCCCCCCACTACTCTAGATATTGCTATACTATAACTCAGGACAACTTCTGCCACTCTGGTCAAAAATGAAGAATGCTGGGAACTGTAGTTCTGTTTCTTCTTTATATTTTAAACAAAATATACAGGTAGTCCTTGACTTACAACAGTTCATTTAGTGACTGTTCAAAGTAACAATGGCAGTGAAAAAAGTGACGCGTGACCAATTTTCATACTTAGGGCTGTTGGTCATGTCATCAAAATTCAGACGCTTGGCAACTAACTTGCATTTATGATGGTTGCAGTTTCCTGGGGTTACATGACCCCCTTTCACAACCTTCTGACAAGCAATGTCAATGGGGAAGTCAGATTCACTTAACAACCAGGTTACTAACTTAACACCTCTAGCGATTCACCTAACAATTGTAGCAAGAAAGGCTGTAAAACGGGGCAAAAGTCACTGAACAAATGCTTCACTTAGCAACAGAAATCTTGGTCTCAATTGTGGTCGTCATTTGAGGATTACCTGTCATGGCCAGCTGATGGTGAAGCCAACAGTAGCATATAATAGATGGATATACCAGACACAATTTTGGCTGATATTGTTGGCCTATCTGACAAACTACCCCACCAGCCAGGATTAATGAAGAAGATGGAGGGGTAGGAAAAATCCCCTACCTTGTTGGTTTCTTGGCTACAACGTTGATGTTCTTCACGCAAAGTACGTTGCCGATCTGGAGATACTTCAGCCCCAGGTGCTATCTGAATTCCACTCTCCCGCAGTGTTGCAATGTACTCTTTGCGGCAGGCCTTGTGATAAAGAGTTTTGGCCTTCTCTGCCTGAAAGTAGAAAATGAAGAGGAGGAAAGGGCAGTTGGGACCCAGTAGTCCCAGAAATCCTGCTTCTCAGTTTCCATATACCCTTAATTTATGGAGTCGGTGGGAAGGAAATAAGTCTACATAGGCAACCAATGCTAACCTCCTACTATGCATAAATTGAGGACGCCATCCAACCTCATTTTATTGCTTCATGTTGGACCTGGTTGCAAAAGGGTACGGATCAGGAGTAAAGGGAAAGAGAGATACAAGCTTGCAATAAAGATAAACCTGGTTCTTTTGCTTCCTAAACAAACCTAAATCCTTGGATTCTATTCCTCCATGTCTTTACCTATCTCTATACCTAGAGAACTCCCAAAGGGCATGTTCTTCCTCCTACCTTCTTCAGCTTCTTAGTCCAGGGTTTCTGAGCCCGCTGGAAACCATTTTCTAGCTCGCAAGCCTCCTTGAAGCCCCCAAAGAGCTTGCGGTGATAGGAGTCGTGCTGCCAGGATCGGATACGTCCAGCATCCTCAGAAACTAAAGCCCTTTGCATTTCCATGTGTAGGCGGCTTAACCGCTCAGAAGCCCCCAGGAAAGCTTGCCATGCATGGAGTAGGGTACCATATGCCGGGCCTAGAAGTGAAGGGAGAAGGGTAAGGAATGACAGGATAAATTCCTTCACTGCAGCAAAATTGAGAACAAGCGATTCTTTGGGATTTGAAGAATGTAGCTTTGATGCTTTATTGAGGAACTGGAAAACTGGAAAAGTGATCTAGGTAGAGAAGCCAATTAAAAAATTGACTTCGCTGGCAACTTTTACTCTGCTGTAATTATGTGCGGGATTTTCTCCACTAACACAGATGTTTGTGCATAGGAGGTAACTGAGGGTGGGCAGAAATCCCTGTTTAGACTGGTAGGCAGAAAATTGGCCTACTCTAAATGAGTCTTTTTCAACCTTGGTCACATTTGGACTTCAACTCCCAGAATTCCTCAGCCACTTGTGGTGTCCTCACATCTTGAAGGGAGCAACATTGAGAAGCACTGCTTTACCACAAGAACCATGGTGGTGCAGTGCTTAGAATGCAGTATTGCAGGCTAATTCTGCTGACTGCCAGGAATTCAATTCTATTTATTTTATTTTATTTATTTATTTGATTTGTCAATTGTTTACAAGATAATAAGTATAAGTGTATACATAGTTGTGAATACATGAGATGGGTACATATAAGAAAAATAAAAGAAGAATAAGAGAAACAATAGGACAGGGACGGTAGGCACGTTGGTGCGCTTATGCACGCCCCCTACAGACCTCTTAGGAAAGGGGTGAGGTCAATAGTAGACAGTCTAAGGTTAAAGTTTTTGGGGTTTGGGGAAGATTCTGACCAGTTCAAGGTTGACTCAGCCTTCCCTCCTTCTGAGGTTGGTAAAATGAGGCCCCAGATTGTTGGGGGCAATATGCTGACTCTGTAAACCACTTAGAGAGGGCTGTAAAAGCACTGTGAAGCGGTATGTAAGTCTAAGTACTATTGCTATCTAAGTGGAATCAACCAGATAAATATATGGCAGCTGTAGGAGTGTCTTGGAACTAATTGTATTGGCTCTGCCGTTCCATTAGATTATTTCAGTGACGTGGAGAGGGGGGATCTGCTGCTTGGGTAACAATTTTATCCTCCATATTAAATTACCCAGGCCTCGTGCTCTGGAGAGGACACTCCACAGCATTGAAACAACACGGGAAGTGGCAGTTACCAGTTTTATAGCATGATACTATAGTCTCTTGAGACTGAAGGATGCCAATTCCAGAAGTGTCCATAGAGTACAGTGAAAAAAGTCAAGATGGCAGCTGTGACTGTGTAATTGAAACTCCACTTGTTTCATCACGGTGCTTTGACTGCCTTATCACCGCCAACAGCTTGATTTTTTTTAAATCACACCTTGCAAACACCACTGGCTAACCAGCAGCTATGAATTTTATATCAGGAATTTCAGCTATGCTCACGGGCTACAGAAACGGGCCTCATGATGTTCTGTAATGCAACATTTAGTGCAACTGATTTTTGGCAGGACACTTCCTGACCACAGACTACCCAATTATGAGTCACAGTCTATAATAATATGACAGCATCCTTTGGAATGACATCACCTGGACTAGGAGATAATTCCAAAAAATATATGTATCCTGAATTATTTGCAGATGAGTCCCAGCATTTTACTAATTGCTCAAGACTGCAGTTTCAGGTACGTTAAAAACAAAAGAAAACCTAGCAGCATTCTCATATAATAGATGCTAAAATGCCGCAGGACAAGTCTCTGGAATATAGAGCATTTAGATTTTCTTAGATAACTTTTAGAAAGCACGGTTTATTCAGCTTTTCAATTGTACAGGTTGTCAACAGCAACTATCCATGGAAAAACCAGTTTCTTCTGTAGGCTTTAAAGCAAAGATATTACCATCCCGCCAGAAATACTTATCTTCCCATATACTTTAGCAAGATGAAATCATTACTTCAAAGGGGGAAAAAATCACCCAGTCCCATATATCATGGGAATTATCTATCTTTTGAAGTTACAACTGGGGCTAGTTTTAGGAAATGCATTATAGTATTATGACTAGCTATATCAGTGATGGCGAATCTTTTTGTTGTGGTGTGCCTAAGGCGCATGCATGCGTGCTGGCACCCACATGCGCCCCGCCCCCGTGTATGTGTGTGCAACACTCCTGTTCCCTTACCCGCACTGTGCATGTGCATGCCTCCCAGCTGATTTTCAGCCCGTTTGAGGCTATTTTCACCCTCCCAGAGGCTCGAGGGAAGCCTCTGCAGCCTCGGGAGGCCAAAAAGCGGGCCTTCCGGAAATACCGGAAGTGCCTGTTTTCAGCCTCCTGAGGGCCTCTGGAGCCCGTTTTGGTATTTCCGAAAGGCCTGTTTTTTGGCTTCCCAAGGCTGCAGAGATTTCTCTTGAGCCTCCGGGAGAGCGAAAACGGCCTCCCCCGAGCTCCAGAGGCCTTCCAGAAGCTGAAAATGGGCACTTCTGTATTTCCGGAAGGCCTGTTTTTTGGCCTCCCGACGCTGCAGAGGCTTCCCTTGAGCCTCTGGGAGGGCGAAAACGGCCTCAAACAAGCCAAAAATCAGGTGGGAGGCTCACACATGTGCAGTGCAGGTTAAGTTTGGATGAGGCTTGCGTGCCTGCACAAATGGTTCTGTGTGCCACTTGCCATCACTGAGCTACATCAACATTCAAAATAAATATAGCAGGGCAGGGAAAGTTGAAAGGAGAATTTTCCTCGAACAGTTTTTGAAATGGCTCCATAGTATATTCTAGGAATAAAAATAATAAACTAAAAGTTTATGGCAAGAACAAACTTTAGTGGATCTTGAAATAGAAAAAAAGAGACTTTTCTTGCTGCTGAGCTGAACTATTTTACATCCATGTGATCTCTAGAAACTGTACATTTGCTGTCCTTTATTTCCAGCATTCCTAATCACTGCAATGACCATTTATGTGTAACATAATTGGTGACAAAACCTGATTTTATATATCTGGAGTTTGGCCTTGAATGATTTTGGACCTTTTAACATAGTAAGGAATAATAGGTTTCACACATGGACTGGGGATAAAATGAAAGCAGCATCAAGGACACATGGCAGGAAAAAGATGTTACAAGGATGCTTTGGGGCAATAGTTAGTTATGAGTGGGGAAAGACCCCAAAAGGCTGGGGGGATAATAACTAATTCTCCTAACCCTGATAATGCTTTCTGCTTTTGTGGTGGGCTGATGCTTTGCCTACAGAAATAAATCAGGGTAAAACTGCATAACTCAGAATATGGAGACAACATATGGACAGCATCATAGACAGAAGGAACAGAGTTGGATTTACAACGCACTCTAGTAATGTTGCAAATAATTCGAGAATAAACATTCTAGGCGTGGCAAGGTATTTGCCGTAATCCTGAAGGAAATAGCAAGCATACTAACTTACAGTCAGAACATACATTTCTACCAGTTTTTTTCCCCCCTGATCTCAAGTTCTTTCAAATGAAACCTGCATATAAAGCAGACCAGAATTTGGAACATTCACAGAAAAAGGATGAAACCACTCACCTGCATCAACAAGGGGCCGCCATTTGCGAGTCCATTCATCTATCATCAGAGCATAGTTACGTTCAATCTTTGCCCGTTCCTGGAAACAGGCTACAATCTGGTCACAGACACGATACCCATCATCCAGACGTTTGACTGTGTTCTGGTAGTGATTGGGCTACAGGAGAAGGGATGGGAAGAAGGGATGGAGAGTGGTCTCAGTCTCGTGGTGCAGGAATGCCCCTTCAAAACAATGCCTACTGCCTTTCCTTCCAAATTCCACAGAATTCTACCTCCACCTGGGGTCCTCCTGTGAATTCCAACCAGAATCAAACCAACCCTGTTTAGCAGTTTTTGAAAAACAGAGAATCCCAAGCACTATCATTAAGTGTTCCAGAAAAACAGGCATAAATTAGGTATTATGGCTTTAATTGTTTAAGAGAGTATGGGGTAATGGTATAAATGTGTTTTCAAAACTGGAAGTCTTTGCACAACATGCTAATCCATAATTTACCAAATTACAGTGTGCTCAATTAACTCAGTTCCCTGAATTTGCACAACACATAGAACCATAAATTATGAATTGGGTTCACTCAACACAGTAGGCTAAAATATGAGTAGCTAGTCTGAAGTTCAAGGAACATTGCTTTTAAGTCACCATTTATTTTTAAAAACTCTAGAGGGGAAATGTAGCCAGACATAACAGAAAATTTTGATAGTGAAGTTTGCAGTGCTGTGGTCAAGTTCTTTTTTCCTGTTTAAGATCAAGTAATGTGATGATGAAAAATCAACATTAAGAGAAAGGGAGATTTTGAATATGCAGACTGTTGATGTCTTAATGTGGTTTTCTTCACAGCAATTTGGGACTGTTATTGCTTTTCTATTTTTTTTCAACTTTCCAATCTAGCCTCCAACTTGGATAGGACTTCATTATCTTTAGAAAAATCAGAAACCTTCAGCACCTCAGCTCTCCCAATTTATCTTTTTGTTATCCTTTCGTCAATGTCATGCGGTCTTGACTTCACTGATTTTTATCCCAAGGGATTTGTGTGGGGATGCCCTTGTAGCCAGTTCAGAATAGAGCAGAATGCGCAGCTTACAGGTGGACTCTGGGATACCCATGTTACACTTCTCCTCTGAGACCTGCACAGGCTTCCAGTGTGCTTCTGGATGAAATTCTGCACCAGTTTGGTCTGGTGATTATGGCAACAGGCTAGAAAGCATGAGACCATGAGTTCAGCTCTTCCACTTAGGCCTGAAAACTAACTGGGTGACTTTGGGCCGGTCAGTCTCTCTCGGCCCAGCTCATCCCACACGGATGTTGTGGGAAAATAGAAGGACGAACCATGTTGGATATGTTTGCCACCTTGAGCTATTTGTAAAAATAATAAGTATATTATATAATAATGATGATGATGATGCAAATAAGAAAACAAACAAATAAATTTAAAAATCTGAAGTGCTGTTACCCTAACCCTAATCCATGATATGAGGTTGCATTATTTGCCTCTTCCTGATTGTTTCCACCCACCCCATTAGGTCCGATAAGGGGGAGCACACTCTGGACCCTTCAATTAAAGAAGGTGAATTTTTAATTTTTTTAAATTAATTTGTATAGTGTCTGCTTTCTGGAACACTATATCCTCCTGAGATCAGATTAGCCCTGATCTTTCTGGCCTTTCATGAAGCATTAAAACCCTGGATAGAAGTGAAGGTTGGAAGGTATGTTAGTCATCCAGAATAACATTTATGGGTTGGTCAGCCCAATAGAAGGAAGGAGGGAAGGAAGGAGGGAGGGAGGGAGGGCTTGAAAGGGAGGAAAAAAAGAAGGGGAGGGATGAAATGAGTCGGGAAGGGAAGAAGGAAGGAAGGAAAGAAGGAAGGAAGGTCACTTGGAACATCTTCCATCGTTCTCAGATGCCAGGTTCACACAATATGCTCCACTAGATCAAAATGTCTCTATTCACATACCAGTTAACATAGTTTTCACCCCAATTAGCATATTGTTTTGTATTTTTATTTTATAGTTCGGCATGTACTGCAAACTCTGCCCATTTGATTAGTTTAAGATTCAAGGTATTCTAGTGATCTAAAATGGGCTAGCTTAGTAAATGAGACAAACATGTTGCATAAACATAAATTGAACCTCTTCCCCTCCTGCCACCCTGTCCTGTTATTAGCTACTCACCATCCAGAAGCTGTTGGTAGTTGGCTCATCGGCAGCCACCTCGCTGTATATCACAGACATGGTGTCACCTGTTTAGAGGTAACAGGTCTCATAATGCATCCCAAAGTATCAAATAAAGTTCTTATCTTCAACAATTGTTTTAGAACCATATTCCAGATGTAATCATGAAGAACCTACTTTAATAGTATGTGAGAATGAACTTGGAAGACAGAAGGGAGAGCCACAGACTGAGCAACTGGCAGATAAAAGGTATCTCATCCCACCAAAGAAGGATGTGGGATGTGTTACAGAAGGATCCCTCTCTATTTTTTGGAGAGTAAAAAGAAAAGAGGGGGGGAAAATTTCAGTTTTATTTTATTTTATTATTTATCAAATTTATTAGACGATAAGGTAACTTTGGATGGCTTACAGACACAATAAAATACATCTACATTAAAACATGAATAAATGAAAACCAAAAATTAAAATCAAGTGGCACACGGGGAGAATGGGAGCAGAATGGGGGGAGGTGGGATCTGTAGTTACTCAATCAACCACCTCCTCCGGGCTGTTCTCCCATTGGGACCCCAGGCTAACTGGCAGCCAGATCTTTAGGTCTTTATGAAAGGATAGCAGGGTTAGGGCCAATCTCACATCAGAGGACAAGGTCTTCCAGACAGAGGGCAAAAGCCTTGACTGACAAGACCCACTGCATGCCTCCTCTGTTGGCACAAGTGGGACAGGCCAATCCCAATGGGTTGGCACAGTCCCTCAAGTAACCTGGATCCATGCCATGAAGGGGTTTAAAGGTGATCACCAGTTTTGCAAGATTCTGGTACTGTAATCTGACAATAAAGACCTAATTAGTTCTGGTGATTGTGCTTGTTTGGACTACTTTGAAGAGCTAACATTAATCTTTAGGTTATATACTGTAGGTAACAATATGTTCCCTCTTTACTTTGTTCCCTTGTCCAGAGTTCTTTGGACCCTGGACTTTTAAAAAATGTAAGGAGAGAACGTGCTCCCTGCATAAATAATAGATCCTTTTGATTTAAATATAAGCCAGTTAATGGCAGATATACCATCTAATCTACACGCGACATTTTCAAGTAAAACATTATTTTTACAAAACCCTCTTTTCTCTGAGTTCCAAGGGTTTCCTCATAAACCAAAGCATTGGGTAGAACACCCAGATCCTGCGTTTATAGAATATAATTTCATTTATTTTCGTTGGATTAGTTTGTACGAAAACCCTGAATAATAAACTAACCAAGCTAAAAGTAACCCCTAACTAATAGCTGCTTTGGCTATTACTTTGTCTGGCCAGTCTAAGAGTATTGTGTTAACATAGCACAGCCTCACTAGTGTAATAATACATCTTCCTTTCTCTCAGGCAACCTTTTGGTAAATGGAGGTACTCTTTTTTGGAAGTGGAAGTCTCCAGAGATGAAAAGTTTATAGAAAGTGGAAGGTGCGTTGTTATTCATCATATTGACGGTGCCTCGGTTTTCTAATTTCCCTCCTGTCCTGGGGCATTTGATGAGAATGAACTTCTTTGAATTTAAAATTATATATCTCTAACTCCCTACCTACTATCTAGGGCCTCCATTACAGTTTTCACGTGCTTTTGATAGCCAAATCTGCCTCGATTTACCTTCCCAATAAGCAACCAGTGGGAAGAGCATTTAAAAGCAATTTATTAGGGTACCCTGAGAAAGTGAGATCTCCCTATGGAAAGGGAGAATTTCAAGACCCATCTTACATTTATTTGCCCCTAATTCTTTCTTCCAAATGTGTTCAGTTCATATAACAGGAAGATGCCCAGCTGGTTTTTACAGATATTTTGTAAAGGATTCTTAAGACCATTAAAACGGGGCTGCAAATGACCTACGGATATGTGCTTGCCCACCAGTGATGTCTATGCATCCTGTTAGATCAGGCAGGAGTTATATTCCTGGTCCTATTACCAAATAAATAAATAAAAATGGAGGAGAGGGCGGAGCTAGCGTTGCGACGATACGGCATGCGATCTTGGAGGTCTGAGATCGCTGCCGATATCTTTGCTCCTGAACGGTCCACACGGATCTAAACCGTCCCGAAGAGACGGTGAATGTAAAGAGCGCATCTTGCCGATCCCAGGGACACTGCAAAGTCCCTGGTAGATCCAGGAGAAGCTCTTTTTGCCAGTGGCAAAGAGGCAGCCATTAAAGCTGCTGAAGTTGGGACAGCTCCGAAACAAAAGAGAATGGAAAGAGAAAGTGTGCCGGTTTGGTGAGAACTTTTTCTTTACTTTAAGATTTGAAAAGACACCCTAAGGAAAAGAAAGAATATGTAAAAGTTTTGACAGAAGTGATTAAGCAGCGATTTTAAACAAGAAGTCAAAGTAATATTTTTATTTATTTATTTTTCTCATTGCTGGCTTTTCTATATGTGATTTTATATTTTGAAACTGGACTGGTTTTTTTCTTCTTCCACTAATTCTTTCTCTCCCTTTTGACTTTATAATATTCTAGGCTAGAGACTCCCTTTTAGTCATCTTTTAAAATATTTTTTCCCCTTTTTAATTATTTTTTATTATATCTTGTTTGGAAAAGGAGGGGGAAAGTGAAAGCAGAAGAAACTTTGTAACACTGCCAACTAGAGGCTTGGAAATATTCTATCTCTTTTTTTTCTTGACCAGACAAAGCTGAGAAAGAACTGAGACTTCTTTTCAAGGACATTGCCTGTTTGATAAGATAGAAGGAAGAGCATGGGAGAGTATTATTGCAGGTGCTCTTCTGGGTTTCTATCAATAGCTGGAGTCTGATGTTGAAGTTTATAGGAAAAAAAGGTGATAAGACTCTGGAGAAGAGAGTTATACATTTTAACAAAAGTCTTGGATAACCAAACAACGTGCAGTGTGCTCTTTTTATTTTTTTTTAAGCTGGGCTATTTCTTACTTTAACAAACCCCCTCCTTACTAGCTTACTTTTTGTAATAGCTATTTGGATTTTTGGCCTTTTGGAACTTGTTTTTGTCTTTCTTTTTGTTTTTGAAGTCTAATTTTCACGTTTGCATTTTATTTTAAAGGAAAAGCTTTAGTATTAATGATTTTCTTCCTTTTTTTTCTTTTTAAGGGAGTAGTCTCTTTCCTTTTTTCTCTCTCCCTCCCTTGCATCTTTTTTTTCTATCTACCTTCCATATTGTTTTTATTTTTATTTTTGTGACTTTCTTTTTTTTCTTATGCATCCTTTTATACCTGAGAATTTTTAATTGGATTAAGGTGTTGAAGAACCTGAAGAACTATTCTTTTCTCTTCCTTGGTTTTTTATTTTTTACTTTTCCGCCTTTTTCAGAACTTAACAATTTTTTCCTTTTTTGTGTGTGTTTATGGTCTTTTCTTCCATTTTTGAGTTTTTACTGCTATTTAACCAATTGATTGGATTAAGGTATACAAGAAACTGAAGAATTTTTCTTTTTTAAAATTATTATTATTGTTACTATTTGGTTTCTTTTTCCCCACTATTTTTACTTGGAATTACAATCGGTTATTTCACAAGTGGATTAAGGTCTAGAAGAACCTGAAGATTTTGAATTGTCCGAAATGAGTAGGAAACTAACAGCCCCTGGTTCCTCAACTTCTACTTCTTTCTCTTCACCATCTGGAGGACAACGCTCAATACGGACGATGTTACAGCAAGAAAAAGAACAGGAAAAAGTGACCCTGCAGATGATTATGCAAGGAATTCAAAATATTCAAATAAGAACAGAGAATATTTAAAAGACAACAGAGAACATTGAACAAAGAACAGGAAAAACTGATGAAAAGGTGGAGAACATTCAACAAATGATGATGAAGTATGATGAGAGATTCCAAAAAATTGAAGAAGAAGATAAACAAAGAGATAAGAAGATTGGAGATATTGATAGCAGATTAACTGTGGTTGAACAAGATAAAAGTGGGATGTTTAGATGGGAGATGGACAGATCAGAATTTTATCTCAGATTCCAAAACACAGAGGAAGAAAAGGGACAAAACCTAGCTGAGACAATGATAGAAATTTTGGCTGAAGCTTTGGAAATAAATAAAGAGAAGATGATGGATGGAATAGACGAGGTTTATCAAGTCTTCACAAGATATGCAATGAGAAATAGCTTACCAAGAGAAGTTCACATCAGATTTACAAAGAAAGCCATTAAAACGCAAATATTGCAAGTGGCAAGAGAGAAAACAGAAATATAAAGACAAGGAGATTGTGGTCCTGAAACAAGTAGAGTGAGAGAGATGAGAAGAGAATACCGATTTCTGACCAAAATTCTATTTAAAAAAGAGGTGAATTATAGATGGCTGATTCCAGAAGGTTTAATGTTCACATGGCAAGAACAGAGACATAGAATTGACTCAATTGAGAAAGCTGAATTATTTTACACAGAATATTTTGGAGGGAAAGAGAAGGAGGCAGAAAAAGAAATGTCACTAATTGAATTCCAAGAGGACTGCCAAATGGTGATTGAAAAAGAAAAAGGTGCAGTAGGCGGAAAAGTGAAAGTCAAAGAACAACATGAACCAAGATCTACGAGAGCTGCTAAACCTAACTACAAAATATAACCATGGAAGAGAAAAAACTGATTACAATTAACATAAATGGACTTAACTCAGCTGTTAAAAGAAGGAAAACTTTCCATAAATTAGAGAAATTAAAATTTGATATGATCTGCCTACAAGAAGTACATATTAAAAAGCAACATTAACAATTGCTGATACAGTCAAAATTAGGGAAAATATTTACTTCTTTGACACAATGCAAGAAAAGAGGAGTGGTTTTATACATTAAAGATATTATCCCAGCGAAATTGATCTATACCGATGACGATGGAAGAATACTAATGGTGGAAATAATGGACAATAATATGAAAACACTCCTGATTACAATCTATGCCCCGAATGACAATCAAGAAGAGTTTTATAAAAAATTACATATGAAAATAATTGAATTGGACTATGTTAATATAGTTATGATGGGAGACTTTAATGGAATTGTAGATAATAAACTGGACTACACAGTACAGAAAACAATAAAGCAAAACAGAAAGACTCTCCCAAAATCTT